AAACAAATTGACTTTTTGGGGAAAAAATCTATTAAAAAAAGATGTTGTTTTGTTTTGAAGTACTTTGGTAATTTTGAACTTTTTTTCAAAACAGTCGCACTGCTTTAGCTGCTTAGACATGAAATCGCCGTCTAACGGACGAACAATGTTACGAAACCCATAGAAATATGAACAAAATTGATACATATTATAAAAATCTCCATAAAATATCTGATAATTCGATATGCATATGTCTAATGATCATTTTTGACTGCCAAATGGCCTTTTTAGTTTTTTTACTAGATCTCCGAAACCGCTAGACCTGCCATCCCAAAAATTAAATCAGTTCATCTTCTCAATACAAGTAAAATGCTTTTTCTATTATTCAAATCGGTTGATCGGTGTTCCCGAAATCGTCGCCGAAAATTTGTATCCGCACACACATACATACATCCAGTTTTTCTAAGGTATGCAAAAATGTTTAGAAACCTTTGAAACGTAAAGATATATAATTATTTTCATATACGAATTTTTTGCGATTACTATCTTACCCTAAAAAAAATTTTTTTTTTCATTTCAAAATTCTTTCAAAAAGTCTAATTTAAAAAAAATCTAAATTTTAAGAGATTATATATTGGCCTCGCTTACGTGGCGTAATAACTGCTTACAATATTTTCATTTTATTTTTTAATCCATGTTTTCAGAACAATATCATTTTCATACATGTCTATTAACAGATACTGCTTCTTATCTCATCTAACGAAATTCAGTATCAAAGATCAATTTTTTCTCGCAAAGCAATGACTACAATCAATTTTTCACATACTACCTTCTGGTACTCAATCTAAGTCCTTTTTCATGCTCATCGCGCCTTTTGCTATTACAGCTATGTCTGGCGCTAAATGTATTTTAACTATTTTATAAATTATTTCGACGCAATGAAACTTCCACCAATATATTTCCAATCGAATACTAAAACATGAAATTTATGGATGTCAAAACTAGTGATACTATCATGCAATATTGGTTCATACATGGTATCCTATAGTGCACTCAGCCTTTAATGTTGTAGAAATTCCAGTGTTTTGCCGGTGGCTCCGGCAGAGCAAATTCCTAACCGGACTCCCTTCTCACAGCAGAAATAACTATCGCTGCTGGAAGCGTAAATAGCTCCATAGATGAGAGCGGCATGTGCATTTAATGGCGTTATGAAATATTTTACTTATAGCAATTTATAAAATACGAGCCATGAAGCTACATGACGAGCTGCCGTACAAGGTCCTACGATATTTTATCACACCGTAAAAGCGAAATTGTTAGCTTTACCCTTTGCATATATTCGGGAAAATTATGGAACATTTGATGTTTTAGGTATATTTCCTTTATTAGAATTTGAGGTACGTTCGTATGAGGAATATTAAACAATTAACAAGGTGTTTTGGTAGTGAGATACTGGAATAAACTAGTTACAACTTTGTAATTTGACTATCTAGTACGTATCATCATCTACTCTGGAAATGTAATTATCTGCTCGTATGAGATTTTCAGTATTATCATTTATTAAGACTTTGAGTTTAAAACCAATTTTGAAATTACAAACCTAATATTTAACCTAATAACTTAACAATATTTAGATTTATTATAATTAAAATCGTTTTTCAAGCAATAAATCCTTGTGCATGATTGTCCATGTTATAGTTTAAAAATAAATAAATTTACTTATTGTTTTTATTAAATTAACTTACAAAATAAGCGTTTCGAGATTAATCAAGTGATAAATCATCCGTGTAATATAATTAATTAAAACAAATCTACCTGATATTTATCTAATGGGAAAAGTGTAACTTAGTTTAATAACTTAAAATTAATAAATTATTATAAATTACAAACAAACTTTCTATAAAAGAAACTTATCATTTACTTCATCACGCTTCGAGACTAGGTTTGTCTCATCATCAGTGTGTTATAATTTAAAATCTAAAATATGGAAACCTAAATTAGCATTATGTGTTATCCGTTACAAGTCGTTCATTATACTGCCCCACCAACGATCGTCGGAGTCTGAATTCTCTATCAAGGTCAACTAGATGAGTCACGAAATATCAAATAGGAAAGAGAAAGAATAGGTCCCAGTTGAAAAATAGATGGCGCTAAGAGAAAAAATATATATTCTATCAAAGGAAACGGTTCCTTTATAAAAGTTGTTTTAAATTATTATAATTAAAAATATATTTACATATATACAAATGCATATATACTTATATATATATATATACATATATATATATATATATATATATATATATATATATATATATATATAATCATTATTCACCAAAGTATATAGAATAGATGCAATTTATTGAAAACTTTTGCCCAATCCTTTTATGTTTTTATAATGATACCGATGAAGAATGAAAATCCGCAGTAAAATTGCTTTTTATATGAAATATTAAAACGTAATTTCTTGATATCTGAAATAGTAATAAAACATTCATTCTATCGAAAATATAAAGCAAAATTCATTCAATTCTTGGCATGCAAGTACAAATTTACGATTTATTTTACCCGTTGCTCAGTTGTTACGATCTCTTTGTACAATTTATAGATGATCGTAAAATTTGTTTGTTATTGCTTCAACTTCAACTATTCTTATTGTATATAAAACTGCAAAACTTTACTCATCAATTTTAATAAAACTCAAAGTTCTTTCTAATCATCTCTGATCAATTCTACGCTTTTCGTACAAATTATAAGAAAAAAATAGGTACAATGCGTGGTGAATGCCTCATACTACTGTGAATATTAGCATTACAAATACAAAATTTTGTATGTAATGTGTGTAATTTTCGTCATTAAAGGTCCTTCATACAACTCTGTTATTCATAATTCATAACCATTTCTGATGTTTGTTTTTTCGCTTTTTTACACGCGTAATAAAATAACTTACATCCACAATGTTAGAGAGTAAACATCATTCCGGGCGTTATGGATATTGTCGAATGGCGTGCGACAGAGCTATATATAGTAATTAATTAATATTCAGTAAAAACATAAAAATTTCAAAACATGAGTTCTGTGTGCTTTTCATCATCGGCGACGGGTTTTGTGACGACTTTTTGTCGACTTTGTGACGACTCTGATAGTAATTTGTGTGAAAATCACATGACATTCTGGGCGATATATTATGTTTTCATAACATTTTGCACCCCAGGGATCATAATTGAATTTTATAGTGATGTATAATAAATAGAGTCCGAGTCATACTCACACAATAAAAGATATGTGAAAATGCTTAGAGGTATTTAGCGAGCTTATTAATACCTTTCGTTCCGCCTAAAAAAATGACAAAAAACACGTTTATTTAGGCCAGGGCTTCTTAAACCATGGATCGCGACCCCAAATAGGGTCACCTAGGAAAATTCAGGGGTTGCGGGAAATTTTAATGTCCAATTTTGATAAATGCATATCATTTTATAACATCACATTTAGATTTTTGTATGCTTTATAATGAATTCTAAAGCCATATTATACTATACTGTATTTACATACGTAAATGTATATGTATATTGATACCTAATAAATGAATCATCAAAAAAAAATTTAATCATAAATCATAATCATAAATGCGGTCGCGAAGGACAAAAGTTTAAGAAGCCCTGATACAGGATGTTACATTGGTTGCCCATCATACAAAAAAGTCATAAAAAATATATTACATTTGAAGTAAATATATTCAACCAAAATTTTCCAAAACGTTTAACTTTTTCGCCATAAATGTCGTCCATGGACAAAATCCACTTGACAACCCGTGTATACGAATGTCGTCCATAGACGACATACTCTGTATTGGTCTTTGCTTCAAGATTTATCACTGTGCGTTAAACTATTGGTAATTCTAATTTTTATTGTAATTTTTAGTTTATTGAAAGCGCATTTTTTAATTTTTCAACACATTTTAATTGGTAATGATAGAAATATCTTGAAATCGTTGTGCCTGATCCTTTCCCTGTGCCTTTCCTGCGGAAAACCCCCTCATTAAAGGGTTAATATATAAAACACGAATTTGGCAGACAAATAGTACTACTATTTTACAAATTCCCCATTTCCTATCATTTTTCCAGATCCTACAAAATATACTTTTCTTTGTGTTGTAGACAATACAAACATGGTTTCAAATTACCCGCATTTCGCACATAAATTTCAAAGTGCACCGTCGCTGTTTTTATGACAACGTTCTTCCGAGGTGCTTTATTCGTCGTCCGACAGTAAATACAGAATTCACTTCGTAAAATTCTGGGAAAACGTCGAAGCGTCGTCGTGGTGTTTGGTTTGCATAGCAATTACTATAAACAAGGAGATACAATTCTTTGTTAGTTTTAGTAGAGGGAACCGGGGTAAAATGGTCACGATAGAAGAATAATATTCTTGAATACCACAGACCTTATATTACATGAATTGCGCAAAATATAGAAGAGTGTGACGTCACATGTCTGAGCGAACATTGCCGACGACAATCGTGGAACTCTCCCGATTGATTTAAATGCCATATGTCATTTATAGATTGTTTTTCCATTATTTGTATGAAATCAAATCAAAAACAAATCAAAATTTTGATATAAGAATACTAAACTAAAATGCATTTAGCACAAATTCAATTAAAAAACAGCCTATTTTATTACTACAATGCTATACCTCTATGACTGTTATCATAGGCAATGTTTATAATAGTAATCATTAATATATCCGATTATAACTACGATTTATAATGGAAAATAATGTACACATTAATTGCATTGAATGCACATATAGCAAAACACATTGTGGTTGATTATTGGTTATTTTGCACGAAACATGTGATTTGAATTTCATTATAATGAATATCGAACATGGGGTTACGGGACTAGTTTAGAGCGGATTAGGACTTATAGATTTAACATAATATAGCATAAAGTAATAATGCTATTTGTACTATAATAATATTTATATTAGTTACATATGTTAATTTAAATTTATTTCAGGTGTGCAAGTCGAGTGGAAACAAAGAAATTTCACAGGAAGTGATCGTTTAGATAGAGAACGGTAAGTACATACGAGTATTACATAATTAGCATTTTATTTGAATATATATATATATATATATATATATATATATATTTATATATACATCTATATATATATATATATATATATATATATATATATATATATATGTTAGGGTGGTCCTTCACAAGGACATTTTCTAATTTCTTTGCTCCCAAGGGCGCCAATGCTTCCAAATTAATTAAAAATGAATCTCTAATAGTATTAGCTCTTCATATAAACATTTATACAGAGCGCAATCCAATTAAAGTTTCTTATATTTGTTATTGACATACGTCATTAAGTAAATTCTTGCGCCATCTGTATAGTATCCGTAAACTCAAATATTATGACAAGTAAAAATATTTATAAACCACTTAACCTCTAACTAAATCCATGTGGACTGTTGTATAATATTTATTCATCATGAAATCAAGATAATAATTTGAGTTGCAACATCAGCAATTAAATAAATATTTTGCTGCAAAATTAATCTTGATTCCATTGTATATATATCATCGCGATGAGTACGACTGAGAACGGCCAACGTACCGCGAATCTCTATTTCGTAATAGTCATTTTAGCGAATAAAATCAGTTTCAGATTAGGTTGGCACTTGCAATGACCAATATTCCCTATATGTAGAATGCTTTGCAGTGAGTAAACTACCCACAACCAGCATGTGTAGACAGGCGTATTTCTCAGATAGAAAACCTAATCTAGAAACCGCACAAATGGTAACAAAACGATCTTAGATAACAGGGTCTTTTTGACACAGATTCATAACATACGAGTGACTTTGCAGTTACGAGTAAAACGCCTGAATGCACAGGAAATACATAATATTTTGACAGTATTCAGTATGATTCAGTAGTATAATGTATGGAAGTTAGGGCGTAACTTGGCCTTGTGATAACATGTTTCTGTTATGCGGCAGAATCGGTTCCTTAGGGGGCGTCCATTAATCACGTGAGGTTTTTAGGGGGAGGGGGGGTTTGACGAAAAATCACGAAATATCACGTGGGGGAGGGGGGGTATGGTAAGATATCACGTGTATTTATTTTTTAACTGATTTTTTTAAAAAAAATCTAACATTTTTAAAAAATATTAAAAAAATTTAGTTTTTTCACTTAACTAAAAATACACGTGATGTTTGGTGGGGGAGGAGGGGTAATTTGAATATCACCACGTATCACCAAGGGAGAGGAGGGGTCCAAAAATCCTTAAAAACTAGCTCACGTGATTAATGGACGCCCCCTTAATAGCATTTATCACCAAAAAAGGAGCGAGCCTCCACCCCGACTCGACACAATATTCAAATAGATGTATTTTCTGCAAATACTGGTAAAATAGGTGTTATCCTGAAAACCGACTAGTTCGTTTCGCACCGTTTTCCTCTATATAGTTTTTCTTTCCTGTAAAACTTCGCAACGCGCTCTTGCGATCTAATTACATTCAGACGCCGAAGTCTGGTTGCAATTACAATTAAACGCAATTACAGAGTTGCATTTAATTAATGGGCACACACCAAACTCGGAGCCCACCCACCAACGAGACTAGTGAGTTGTAACTCTATATTTCTCATTAACTAATGCCTTCTGTCGGATGTAAGACGAATCGGTTTATTAGAGCTGATTACAATGCAGTATTATAATTGGGTTATTAAATACTCCTGGCTGGTTGTGTAATACGACCGATAAAGTAGCTCATAATACGCCCGTGGATTATTAAAATAATATGCAAGATTGCGATCTCTGGGTAAGAAATTAAATTGAGTTATCAGCACTTGATATAGCTATAAAGCTGATATATACAATGTTGTATATTGGTAATATCATTAAGAAAAAAATTAAAATATTATCTTTAAAAATATGAACACACTACACACATTCTGTATAGGTATATTAAATGATAAGGTTATAAAAAAAATTAACAAAAAATCGCATAAATTTAGAGGCAATAAATATCAATATTTTTGTAATAAAGTATTGAAGACATATTCGACTAGTATTTTAAATATAAGGGATATTTGTATTTATTGCTGGTAGGTCCTTATATGATCTATTATTTCCATACTTATATTGACTACAAAAAAAGGATTAAATCTGCGCTGAGGTCGTATTGTGATTATGGCATACTAGTGTGTCCCCATTTGACTAATTATCAAATGCAATTAAAACACGTAATTTACTAGGTTGGCAAATAACATGTGAAAAATCACCAGAATAAAATTGGTCAAAACAGTTTTGACACAGCCGCCTTTTCAAGGCTTTGTCATGGTAAACAGCACATAACTCTTTGTGAGCCTAAGATGCCTTCTTACCTTTACAGAAAAATATCTATATATGACAAAAAATTTGATTTGATTTTCCATCTTCCAACATACGTCAAACGAAAGCAAAACAGTCAATAAAAAAAAGAATTGTTCGCCAATTGGCATTGAATTTGAACTAAGTCATCCAATCTAACAATTCACTTGAAACCACCCAAGAGTAAAACCCACACATACTTAGCTGACAACCTAATATGTATACAAAACTATGATACTAAATCCAACTATGAGTTCAAATTGTGTAATTATCTAGGGAATATATATATATTTCTATTCTTACCTGTAGTACATGAGTCCGACCAGGGCGTGCAGCGCCACGTTGACCAGGTGATAGCCCGCGGGCTGCAGACCATGCAGCAAGTAATTCCATCGGAAAGTCAACACGCACAGAGGTCGATACGATTTATGCGATTGCTCCTGCAACATGGGAAAAACACAACATGAAATAAAAATCAAATGATGTTCAGCTCAATGCAGCGCGTTTAAAGGTTATATTTTCAGTTCAGTTAGCGCTAACGAAATCGATGTAAATTGCATCGCGAGTTCAGAAGTTGAATCGTGTTACGAACGAATGGACTAACTGAATCAAACGGTTTGGAATTGTTTATACTGAATCGAAACTAGATTTGTCGTTCGACGCAGTTCAGGATGATGATGTTTGTTCGTTTGATTCGATTTTGTGGCGAAGTTAGTTTTGCCAATTCTTGTGAATTGCAATTACAAGAGTAGAAGTCACTCTTATCGCAACAATCCTCATTCTTGTTGTCTAATTAAGAAATAACAAAACCGCAAAATAGGAAAGATCATAATTGATATAGTTTTCATAATAATGAGTTTCTATAGAAAATTGAGATAAGCAAAAATTTTAAGATGGAATAGCACTTTCAATAATTACAATTAAACTACTGTTGGTATATAACATAGTTTACAATTCTGGAATTTTTGTTAATTTATGTTAGTGTTTCGAACAGCAAACACAAGTATTTATATATGTATTTATGACAATATAGAACTAAGTTCTGTTCCATCACCAAGGCTTCTCAACAAAGCTCAGCGAAATCCAGAACATAATACTGCAAGCAATTCAGATAGATAGGTATTGTAGATCAGTGATTACCAAAGTGGTCCACATGGACTCACAGGGAGTCATTACAACTTTCAAAAAAAAGTAAATATAGTTAGAAAAAAACATTTTTTTTAACTTTAAGGGAGAAGTATGTAGTATGTTTGTTTAAACATATTCCCATTATTGCATTCAGTCCACTATGTAAAAATGGGAATCAACGTTTTGGATCACGTTAATATTTACTATTTCAATAATAAATAGTCAGATACAATATTTATATATAGAAGTAAAAAGTAAATTTAAATATTGTTTTTTTTTAAATTGAATGTTATAAATATTTTAATTTATTGTAAACATTGGCAATATTTTTTGCGCCATTCAAGATTGCCATAGTATTTCTTGACATTAAAGATAAAAGATGATTTGATTGCTGTAAAATAAACAGAAGAAAAAGATGTAAGCTGGACTTCATTAGCCAGGAGATGTAAGATTGAACCTTACAAAATTATTGCCAACATTTACTGTCGATTTACGTTATTTTCTGGTTATTATTCCAAATTCACTTAATAAATGCATTAGAGTTATATATATTTTCACTTTGAATACTTAATAATAAACGTTAGTACTGAAATTTATATAAAAAAAATCTATGTCGGGTGTATAAGGAGCCTGTGACAAAGCCCAAGGGATTTACGACACATATTACGAACATATGATATAGATAATGCCTAATAAGCAATATTATTTGAAAAAGTAATTGATCAGAATTTCAACATTTGAAAGAATATGTTATTAACCACTAACATTGTGCAATTTATAAATAATAATTGTATGTATATATAATACATATTTATATAAATAAATACAAATATAATAAATTACATTATAAAATGTTATAAAAATATTCTCAAATAAAATATTTTTTTGTAGATGTACATTCGATTACATTTTAAATTCAAATATCGCGCCAAATATATTGTTCTGTGTTCACGTTATTGTCCCCTCCTTTATGTTTCAAGCAGCGTATGATTCTTACGGCTCGCATACTGTCATAACCTTAAACGTGCGTTTTAATATTGTTAATTATTTTAATTAAAGTACTGCAATACGTTTAACTTTGATTTAGTACAGTTATTGAACTGAGATTAATTTTAGTGGTTTTATTTCAGTTTTTAGTGATTTTTAATATAATGCAATAAACCAAATAAGAATTTCATGTTCCTAACGACAGTACATAGTTTATTCAAAGTTCACTCAGCAAACGTCATTCCGCCATCTTGCAGTTCGTTAAACGAGCATGTAGTTTGTATTTTTGTGTTACAGGTGAATAATTAAATTTAATACTAAAGTTTCAAGAGAGCAGGACATCTCTAAGGAATTTATCAATTTGAGGACCATGTTATTAATTGGAGATATATTTCATTAAGTTTTGAAAGTGTCTGGTGCCAGGAATCATAACTTCATCAACTTTGCACAATAAGGCGAGCATTTTATTTTTGTTTTCTTATGATTTTATATTTAAATTTGTGAGAAAATGACTGTCATTTAAATTTTATTATATATTATGTTCATAAAACTTAACATGTTCAGTATCAACATGTAATTTGCACTATTTGGGAAAGGTTAGGAGATGTGCTTCGAACGAGAAATCCAATAAGTAAAAATTGTTGTTCGAAGCTCAACACAATACATATGACATATGAATATATATATATGTATATATATATATATATATATATATATATGTGTGTGTATGTCGATTGTCTTATATTGAGTTGCAAGATTCTCATACATATATAGGCTTAATTTTTTATGCTGTAAATTACTATGTTTTATAATCATAGGATATTGTACGTACATGCTTTAACGAAGGAAAACTTGTCTAATAATTATGTTAGACGGAAAATTGATACATCTGATCATATCATTTAGCATTTGAAATGACAATGGCATTTTACATTGATAATTATCGAAAAACCAAAGATCAGTTTCTGCAAATGAAAGAATTCCAATTGTAAACCAGTTTGATTATGCAACTGCATCTTAACAATTGATCCTTGAATACAAAATATAAGCTAATGATATGAATGCGATAAGTAAGTTTTTCAAGAGTACTCAGATAAATGGACGTGCAAAGACATTTTACTTATGAAGGCTTCGAATTCATTAAGCAATTTGATATAATCTTGATTGGCTTAATTTTTATAAAATGTAAATTACTACGAAGTATTGAAATTCATTCTAGATACCGAGAGTAAGGCATTACCATTACATATTTGAGAAACAATAATCAATAAGACAATATGAACAGAGTCGTGCAATTTCATAATCAATAAGACAATATAAACAGAGTCATCAGTAACTTGTAGGCATTCGCATAAAATGAATAATGCAAGTCATTCAATCCTAATCTTGTGGGAGTCAATATAGTAAATACAATTATGATATAGTCCCATCATATTATATGAAATCTTTCAGTACTCAAAAAACTGAATACACATTTGAGCAATTACGTATAATGAAATTGCATGTGACTATGACCCATGAATTGAAATACAGGTATAGTTGCCCTCAATCTTGGCTTTTTTGTCCTAATGCAACTAAAAAAAGACTTCATACTAAAGGAAGTATGTTCTAAATGTATGTAGTTGCATTAGGACAAAAAAGCCAAGATTGAGGTCAACTATACATGTATTTCAATTTATGGGTCATAGTCACATGCAATTTCATCATATGTAAATGCTCAAATGTGCATTTAGTTTTCTGAGTACTGAAAGATTTAATTAAATATGATAGGACAATATCGCAATTGTATTTACTATATTGACTCCGATAAGATTTGGATTTAATGACTTGCATTATTCATTTTGTGTGAATGCCTGCAAGTTACTGAGGACTCTGTTCATATTGTCTTATTGATTATGCGATTAGACGACTCTGTTATATTGTCTTCTTGATTATTATTTCTCAAATATGTAATGCCTTACTCTCGGTGTCTAGTATGAATTCATATCTTCCGTAGAAATTGACTAGCAGTTTGGTGTACTGAATAAAATTCCAAAATTATATATATTATATATATATATATATATATATATATATATATATCAAATTATTTTCAATCTTAACGTTTAACTTGGAATAGTACATTTTGGATGTAGAAGTACGTTCATATTTCAAAAATCAAATATTTTTTTTAATTTGCTTTAAAAGAAAATTGCCCCATCTAAAATTATTTATTGAAAACATGCACATTCCAATATTTGTTCAATTGCGAATTTTATTAAAACATTTCGTTACACAATTTTATATTTCATTTCGGATACGGCAATTGCTTCCTAAAATAAGCACAGCCTCGAGCACGCTATCTTCTAATTCGCCATTCAAATATATTTTGATAAAATTGCGAACGCAAAACGCCGAAATTGCAGCCGTGGGGCGAAACCCTTACCTCGAACGCAATTGTTTGAAATAAGAGATGGGGCGTTATTATTTCGTTTTATTTTACCCATAATAATCCAGAGATGAATTTCAAACAGTTTATACATATTATTGTGTATACATAACCTGAACGTAACATTATTTAGGCGTTTAATGACTCACAATTTCATATTATAGTCCCGAGATTAATTCATTTTTACTTTTTAAGCTGTTCACAGTAATTCAATTTAAAATTAACCGTATCTTTAGTACGTCTCTGTATCTGGCTTAATGGTGACAATAGCTTTCGCCCTCACATTTTATGATTATGTGGATATATTTATGCACCCTATATATTGGCGAGTGGATTTAAACCACATAAGTTGAGCAAAATGAAACAGAAGGGGGTTAAATAGCTCCCAAAGCGGCTCCAGTCTGGTTATTCGGTCTAATTATTCACTTGGTGAAAATTCTCACGCAATTGTTCGTGAATTATATTTTTTATTCACAAATGACTTAAAAGGCTATGATTTTAATAACAATCTCAGTAAAATTACTATGAAAATTTACATAAGATGAAATTTCTCTTTCACCGTCCTTTTAGTACATTTAATTTTCAGATTGTTCACGACTTGTTTTATTGGCAAATAAATATTCCGTAAAGCGGTTAATGAATTTTTAAACTTTGTAATTGTATTAACAATATTTTATCAGGTTGTAAACTAAGTGCGGAATTTTGTTAAAAAAACGAAGATATTTTTTTTTTTAATAAATAACAATATTTTGTATATTTTGATCAATGACCTTTTGTCGTCTTTTCAATTTTTTATAAGCAAAAAGATCAGGTACAATTTGACACTATCATTTTTTTTAACTCATTTTATTTAGCTATCAGAAATACATAAAGATTCATATGAGCTAAAATGACAATGTTTATGAGCGATGTCTAAGGAGAGCTCCAATGAGATCTTCTCAGTTTAACAATTAATATGATAATATTATATTAGACCTAACCTAAGACTAAGTCTAAAGGCCATTGTCGTTTTAATCTCTTTACACCAAGAGGTTGAGTAATATCAACTATTGATGGGTTCGAATGTGAGTCCAGTTTGCGTTTGTATTTTTCCTTGAATTCTTTGAACGTTAATTGCACCGTTTTCATGTTGAGGTCGCTGTGAATGGTTTCATTTGTCACGTACCACGATAAATTAAGAATTGTACGTAAAATTTTTGACTCAGTTCTCTGCATTATAGCTATATTTGATTTGTAAGCACATCCCCAGAGCTCAATTCCGTAGGTCCAGATTGGTTTAATAATTGATTTATATAGCAGCAACTTATTTTCAACAGAGAGCTTAGACTTTTTACGCAGTAGCCAATCAAATTCTTTCATTTTGATCATTATTTGCTGCTTTTTTGTTTTTATGTGGCTTTTACAAGTAAGTCTGCTGTCTAATGGAGACCAAGATATGTCACTATGTTCTGTTTCAGAATCTGGACGTTATTTAAATAAATTGGAGGACACGTACCCGCAATCCAATTTTGACACTGCCGTTGTCTTAAGGCTATGTCCTCACAAACAGGGCATAATTTTTGAGAGGTTAGGAAGGTTTTTAAAAAGCAAAATATTAAAAAAAAATTGATTTGATTTTTCATCTTTCAACTGAATTGCCTACTGTCCAATAAAAAAAAGTATTTTTTATCAAGACTACGTCAACAAACCTAAAGTTCAATTGAATCATCTAAAAAGAGAACCCGCGCGTTGCTCGTCTCGGATTTTTGATGAAACTTGGCACAATGGTAGATTGATGCCAAACTGACTGTGGTAAAGTATTAGAGGCCTATGAAAAGCGGTTTAATTATAAAAATTAATAAAGTTTGCATTGTAGCAGCGCCGGCATGCATAGCTTGCGATGTTTTCCTTTATCAACAGCAGATTGGGAGTGGCTATCGTCGTGGAATTCTAATTTTTGCTCCGGGGTTCAATTCCCGATTCAGATATATTTTTTTATTTGATATTTATAATTTCACGTGTAAATAATATCAAAATTTATTTGATTTTTTAATTAATTTTATATTTTCGCTAAATATTCTATAATAAAGTCCTTCGTAATACCGGTAAATGTTTATTTTGATATTACTTATAAAACTTACGATCATATAAATGTTAGTGATTCTTGAAACATTATAATTTTGTATTAATATCAGCAATAATACGGAAAAAGAGATATAATTTATTTCCATGTAAAACTATGTTCAAATTTACAATGTGGGGATCGTGGAAATTGTGCTGCAGTGAATAAACTTTATTAATGTTTTCAAATCATATGTCGAAAAGGATTTTTTATATTAATATTAGATTCTTGGGCTGGTCAAACGTACAAAGTATCATCCTCATAATAGTAAATTTGAACATAGTTTTTACATGGAAATAAATTATATCTCTTTTTCTGTATTGTTGCTGATATTAATACATAATTATAATGTTTCAAGAATCACTTTAACATTTATATGATCGTAAGTTTTATAAGTAATATCCAAAATAAAAATTTACCGGTATT